ATACTCATCGCATAATTTTGAGATGGATATGCCTTTATCCATTTTTTGCAACAATTTCACTTTTTGTTTAATGGACATCAAAACATGATTTCGCTTTGTAGATTTTTTGGCAGCTCCAGAATTGGAAACTCTTTTTGACATAGTCGAAAGTTCAAGCTAAGTTTTTATAAAATTGTTCTAAGTCTGCAAAAAATAATAAGCTGGATCCAAACTAAAAAATTAGGGAGCAGCGCAGTCCGCTACATTAACTGAAATGCCTGAGTTAATTTTAGCCTAGCTTATACCATTCGTTATATATTAAATGCACATGTGTAAACGCACTATGCGTTTATGCATGCGCCTAAGGTTTGTAGCTTTGAGTTCTGGATTATAGATCATTCCAGATTATGGACGTCCGGATTACAGACTTTGTACTGTAGTTTGAATTCGTGGAAGCTGTGAAAATTTTAATAAAATCAGTAGCACTGCAATTTTACAATGGCTGTAATACCTAATGCATGAACACTTGACACTGCATCAAATAATATTATGTTAAGATCGTAGGCCTTTAGTGCTAAAGGTGACCACATGTCCCAAATTTCCCGGGACAGTCTCGAATTTTCAGTCCCCTTCCTGATTTTTTACAACGCATTTTCCCCCCTGAATTAAAAGTATTTGTTTCAAAAAACAGTAGTGTGAGAAAAGTTTAAATGCATATATTTATTTAAGTAGTGTATATTGCAAACTGAGAATACAAGCATAAGTTAAGAGACTTGCACTATACCGGTCGCATAAACAGGGAATTCCCCATCTTATATTTACCTTAGAAAATTTGTAGTGCAGGAGTTCTGTTTCTCTCTCCAGCCCCCCCCAACATAAACAGAATTTTTGATCAAAACTCACAGTTGCAGTCCATACTTTCACTTACAGACAGCACTGCAATTTTTAATTAAATATTGTTATGGATTTGGTATTTAAATAGTTAATGTTAGTAGAATCATAAATAATTTTTTTTTTTTCTTCCCCGTGCAGTGTGGCACGTGACGAATATTATGGAAAAGCTAAGCCGGAAATTTAAAAATACAAGAGCATGTGCATTTAACAAATAAATTTCTCTTTTTGATTTCGAGAAATTGCTATAACGATCGCGCATGATTTACAAAGCTTATAAAAAGGAGGAAAACCTCTCAATTGACTTAGTTGTCAGATGTTTTAAGAGTTTGTTTAGAAAACTGCTCTTATTGACTGTAGCGAATTCGCGCATTAGCTTTCTCTAGCTGTTTTGAATTAAGTTCTGTTGAATGTTTGAGTAGTTAAAAGTTAACTGCTGTGGGATATTGTAATATTGTACAAATATCTGAGAAAATTTAAGCATTTTGTTTTATTTGTTGTGATAATAATAAATTTTGTTTGTTTTACATTGGACTTGTGCATTCAATTCATAACGAACCCGTACGCACGCAACAATATGTTAATTCAATTGTGATTTGAATTTATAACATATACATGTATTTTTTTTAACTATCAATCTAGGATTACGTTAGTATACACTGGTGTGCAAAAATTAAGGACGAGACGGTTTTTTCAATATAACTTTGTACAAAAGCTTTCCAAATCAACACATTTAATACCGTAAGATCCCCAATACGTAAGGACAGAGTAATGTAAGCAACACTTACTAAAGAGAAATCAGAGGGATAAAAAGAAGCTTTATTGAAAAAGTAGCATGAGCGCAATGCGACTGAAGGCCAAAAAATCTCTGTGATGGGTGTCCAGCAAGAAACATCCGGTCTTTAATAGGGTATGATCTGACCTGATGCTAGGCAGTTTCACAGCGTCTGCCCATGTTGAGAATGAGGGGTCAATGAGTTGTTGAGGCATTGCTGCCCATTTGTCTTGCAGTGCCAAGTGAAGCTCCGGAATCAGTACTGGTGGTAAGGTCGAGCTGCCAAGCGTCTGCCTAGAAAAAATCCCATACATGCTCGATGAGGTGAGATCCGTCCGGATTGTGCCGGCCAATCCACATTTCAATCCTCACTCTCTAAGAGCTGTTCGGCAGCTACCGTGCGATGACATGGTGCATTGTCATCCATGAAAAGGAACTGCGGACCCATGGCGTCTAAAATACGCACATATCGAAGAAGAATCGTTGCGGGCCCGTTGACTGAACCTGCGTCGAAGATGTGAGGTTGTACGACTACAAAGCATGATCCCTCTCCTCCTCCGAGAACATGCCACCTCCATACCTGTTCCTTTCAGTGATGTTCGAGGGATGATTGCAGCTTCCCTGCTCTCTCCAGATGAGTATGCGATGAAAATCGCTACTTAGACTGAATCTGCTCTCATCTGTAAAGAGTACTCGTCCCCATTCATTGTCTCTCCAATTCCGGTGTTCCCGGCACCACAGAGAACGCCTTCTCCGATGGGCAGGCGTTAGAGGTACACACCGTACAGGGCGTCGTGCAAACAGACCACCACCGTGCAGTCTTCTGGCCATGTTAAAACACGATATCGGTCGTCCAGTCGCCTGTGTCGTGTGTCCAGCAGATTTCTCCCACTGTCTGCCGCCTGTTTCTTCTGGCCTGTAAGGCAATATACAGGTCATCTGCGGTGTGGGTTCCTCGTGGACGACCACTACTAAACTGCCCAGATAGCTGTTCCGGTAGTTTGAAATTGTCTCCAAAGTCGTGAAACGATGCTGTGAGCAATTCCGAACTCTGCAGCCACACTTGTCACACTGCGGCCTTCCTCCAACTTCCCAATGATTCCACCTCGGGTAAAAGCATCCAGAGATGTCGTCTAACAGAGTGATTATTCGCCATTTCTCACTGAGGCAGCAACTCGGTGTTATTTTAACTGCTATACGGCGTGCAATCTCTTTGCCAGAAATACTGATCTTACACCGACAACATGCTTTATACTACTCAGACACTCCCCCATTACGTCTACCTGCATATCTGCGCATGTGCTACCGTACATCACCTTACTTAATCTCCTGATTGGTCTTTCTGTCCGCTCTGCCTCTTTGTTCAGCTGATATACTAATTTTTCGACTTCATCCTTAATTTTTGCGCACTAGTGTATATCATCCCCTTACTACACGGCATCTAAAAATAATTCTTTTCATATATACTAACGTACAAAATAAAGGGGATGATATATGCTAATGTACGTAACACATTACATACGTTAATATATATCATCCCCTTACTACATGGCATCTAAAAATAATTCTTTTGACATTTGCTGAAATTTCATTGCAAATATATCCATTTAAAAGTATCTTTCTTTTGTCATATATAAAGTGTAAAATTTTTACTTCATTTAGATTTTACATAAGGGTTAACAAAATTTAAAAAAATCTGCCGAAATGATGACGTGTAATAACGTTTTCCATGTGGCAATAACCTATATTTTTTAATTATCAATGGTGTAATACATATAAGCTAAGGGTAAGTTTTACTGTAATTTAATTTATTATTTATTTACCTTTTTTTTTTTTTTTTTTTTTTTTTTAGTAATGGGTAAAAAAAAAAAGAAAGTGTACATTTAACAAACACCTATGAAAGGAATACCCATTTATTGAAAAAACTATAAGCAATTTCTATGTGCAATTCATGTTCTTCAGAATTTTCAGTAAACCATGATGGACGTAGAGATATTATTAAACTTCGTTTAAATAGTAATAAACATAAAATGTCAAAATTTGCTGCTGAACTTAGCTTGTCAACGCCCCGTGGCACGCAATGAATTGGAAGTTGATCTGTCAACACTATCCTTATCTTCAGGGCAGATGTTTTTATTTTATTTGGCTTATAATTCCTTACTAAATGTAGTATTTCATCTCGATGTACTCCGTCTTTGATATGATTTAAATCAAATCCTCGTCATTATAATTTGCTTCCGATAGTGAAGAAAGTGACACAGAGGTTATTGAAAACGAAAAAATTTCGATTGACAAATTAGTTGGTATTCTCGACACAGCAATTATAGGACTTGAACAGCGGAACTTTGTAACTGAACAAGAAATTATGTCTGTTTTTAGAATTAAAGAGAAAAATATTATCACATAAAAACGAAGCAACTTAAACAACATACATTGAAAGAAATGTTTAATAAGTAAACAAATACAAATAGTAAGCTTTTTTTTTTTTTGTAAATTTTGATACCCTTTAGATCATAATTGTTCTTTATTTCATAAATTACGGTTTCATATTTTTAATTGTATAATTTCTGCATGCCACCTTACCAGATTTAAACTGATGATCTATAATCCGGAAAAATTGATAATCCGGAATCGCCGAAGTCCCGACAAGTCCGGATTAACGACTTTTGACTGTATTTCAATAAGAACCAGATTTTTTATTCAAATCTTTTAAAATCGCCAGAGTTTTTCTTTGGTCTTCCTGGCACTAATGCTACAATGGAGCAAGTATTTAACATCATGAACATTTTTTGACTAGTGAATAAGACACAACTTAAAATAGACACTTATGTTAATCACAAAAATAAATTTTGAGGAAATTTGCATGTACTTTTATAGGAAGATCAAAAAAGAAAAAGATGTTCTAAGAAATATTCATGCTTCAGAGAAATATCAGGCTACTTTTATCAAAATAATTTAAAAAGATTACAAATTTTTAATTTTGTTTAAAAATGAATACTGCATTTTGATTTATTCTTTTTTTATAAAAAAATATCACTATTAAAAAATAAAACAAAAATTATATTTTTGTTTCTCTATATATATTGACTTACATACCACCTCCAACACAATAGCAATAAAGTAATTTAATAGTTAAAAAAATTTTAAAAATCATATATATATATGTAGTGCCGCGAATTTCGAACTTCAAAATCTGCTCATATATTTGTTGCCACAAAATTTATTAATACGCCATGCAGTTGCAGTTAGCTTGGTTATCATTTTACAATGATTTATTCTGATTTGTGACCAATTTATAATGTCTTATTACATTTCTATAGTAATTTATAAAATATTTGTTTTAAAATTATTTTAGGGAGTGATGAATTAGTTAGTAAACTAATAAAGTTAAGATATGAGAGGAGAGAAGAGTTTAGAGCTGCTGGGAAAAGTTCAACTACAAGAGGTGTTTGGGCGTAAGTATTTAAAGGTTTATATAAAATTATTTTGCAGTTAATGCTCTGAGAAGTAAAGTAAATAGAAGTACTGTAAATTCTCCTTTAATATTGAAATCAGTTACAGACATAATTTGCATAAAGCTACCATCTTTGTATAAAGAAAAAATATTGCTGACTCTGATTATGGAATATTTGTGCATCCAATAAGTATAGATACAAATCATCTTATGTCTAGTACATTGATTCCATTGTAATTAGGTACATTCAGTCGAAAAGAAAATGAGAAAGTTATATATCTCCCATTCTACTGGACTGATTGACAAAATTGAGCACGCATTTTTCATGTATCAAATGTGCAACTTAGGGTGTATATCAGATTTGTACATAGTGTTATTCTAACATAATAATTTTGGCACAAAATCGGACTATTTTGAAATGGCATGCCCAATTTTTTTTTTTTTTTTTCATATTTCAACTGTATGACATGAATTATGCCTAAGAAGAAAAGTGAAATTTAATCAGTAATTCAAAAATTTACCTTGGCACACCTTTTTACTTTGTGCCCAAAATAATTCACTTGATAAACTTCTCGGTTCATGGCAAACTAGTTTTCCTTTCATTCCGTGCAAGCAGTTTTTCCATATAATTTTTACTTTATATTATATTTTTTAATCACAGTTGTTACTTTAAGACATTTTTTTCCTTTTATAATTTCATTTTAATTATTTGAAATGTATGGTCTTTAAACAGTTACTTTAAAATTTTTTTTATATTCATTCTCTTTTATTGTGCGCTTTAAGCATGTTTTATTCATATAGTTTTTTTAAATTTAATTTTATTTATTTGAATAGCATTTCTTTTAAAAGAGAACTTTTTTTTTAATCCAGTATTTATCATGGTGCCTTCTGCATTCTGCATTAAAAGAAGAACTATTGTAAAGCACGGTCACTAGGTCTTTCAATGAACCAGTTCAAAAAAGATTCATAAATGAGAAAATTGTGTTATCTGCATTTTAATTTAGAATGATATAAATAAATACAAACAATTCTCCTCAGTTTAATCGCTGTACCATTGCTTTACATAGTTTTATCATCCTACATTTAGTTTGTTAAAATATTATCTATATTTCCGAGTAAATTCAAATTTTTCATTTTTTGAATTAGAAACATCAAAAAGCCTATCATAAAAAAGACTAATTTTGTGGCAAAATAAATAAATAAATAAAAATAATTAAATAAACTTAAATAATTTATTTTTTTTTAATGCTATAAATTTTTCCTCTGAATTGCTTGATCATAGAAAAGTCCTCCATGAAAGCATTCCTTCCCTCAGGCAGATAATCTCCATTTGTTTTGCCTTATTTTAAATAACCAACTTACCTAATTTATGTGCAATTTCTAAATGCAGATTTTTAAATTAAGAAAACCAGCAACTCGCCAACTCGCATTCAGGTCTTAACAAATCACAATCTGACTTTTAAAAATGTTTTTATTTTAAATCCTGTGTTTATATAAAAATATATTTTACTTTAAAAAAAGGGTCTCTGATGATAATTAGGATTTTTTCAATAATAAACCACAGTTTCTTTAAGAAATTTACTATGCAGTAAAGACCACAAAATACCTTTAGTCGTAGAACATCTTCAAAATAATTTTTTCGTTGTTGTCTTTGCTACACATTGGAAAAAAGATAATAATCTTATATTCTAGTAGATTATGCTGCTGTTAAACATTTCTATAAGAGCAGACAGCATGTTTTATTAATACTTTTGACATACTATGCATTTATGACGTAAAATTTTGAAATCAGCAAAATAAATTTCATTGCATATAAAATGAAGTTTTACTTAACCTCATTTTACTATTTTATGCATTATTTTATGCTTCATTATTTACTATTGTATAGTAGATGATAAAATGGTGTGTGTGTGGGGGGGGGGATTAAAAAAAATTAAAAACTCTTATGAAAGGAAAAAAAAAGCTTTAAACCTTTGATTAATATTCTTTATAAATTAAAAAAAAATAGCTTTCCATGTATCATTAATAAATATTTATTAGGCACATTATTAATAAAAATGAAAATAAAGAAATATGCAGTAAAAGTTTATTTAGATATTTAAATTTCAAAATAATTGTTGTAATTCATTGAAGATTATAACAAAGTGTATAAACGTCATTTAACATTATTATCACTTATAATAAATATGCCAAATTTTAGCCACATATATCTTGGGAAATTTTGAATAAAAGAAAGAATTTTTTGCAGCTTTACTTCTTTAAAATGATTACAATTTGAAGGTTATAATTCAGAAAATGTTTGGAAAATTTGTAAAAATTATTTAAAAACTCAAATTTTAAAAATAAATCATAAAATATTTGCCAGTTGTATCTGGATTGAACCTAAATTTCAGAGTCTGAAAGAAAGAATCAAGTAAGGTTAATTAAAAAAAAAAAAAAAAGAAAGAGAGCCACGGAAGTGAAAATATATGCCAAATTCAGTTAACATTGAGGAGCTAGAATTTTGAGATCTAATTAAAAAAAGAAATGTACAAATTTGCTAGGCAATAAATTAAAACACAGCCTGAGACATTAATCATCAGAATTTTAAAAATAAGGTTAGTTTTTAGGGTGATAAGCTTCAGAGTTTGATTTTACCACATTGAAACTTTTAATAAATGTTTAGTAAATATAAAGCAAAATTTAATTAAAAAATTGGCTGTTTATAAATTAAAAAAATATGAAATATTGTTCTGATTTATTTTTCAGATACTGTCCAATTTAACACATGGAATGTCATATTTTGCACATCATGTACCTAATGAGATGATTTTAATATCTACTGCCCTCATGCTTAAATTAAGCAGGGGCTAGACTATAAGTACCGATCATTGTCGTTAAGTTGCAAAAACTTGCCAAATCTAGCAGCATTGCATTTTTGCTACAATTATTCTAAGCTCGCATGATATTCATCATATCTGGCAACATTATATAACTTTTCTTCAAGATTTAGGCTTACCGTTTATATTACTTAACTGTTAACTGAGCTCTTTTAAAAATTATCATTTTACGGTTTTCATTGATTATTTTTTGAGCAAAATGGCTGGCATTGAATCAGTTGAATGTATGGATTTCACTCATCTGATTAGGTTGCAAGATAAGACCGAATGTGTGATAGACTGTATGTGACCAGTGTGTGATAGACTGTATATGCATGAATTATGGTTTAATTTTGAATGTATATGAGTGTTCTAAGTGCAAAAATAGTATGAAATTAGTTGAAAGAAGAAATATGACAGATTTATATGAAAGGTGATATAGTTTGTCTGGCCCTTCCAAGCATGATGTCAAAGAGATTGTAAGAAAGGGCTCAACAGATGAATACCTCTGAGTCTGATTCTTCAGGGCTCCCCTCTGGCAGTGTATAGCCGTGAACCGCGTTTCAATCGGAGCTATAGGGACTGAGAAAATCAGGTCCATGTTCAGTCCCCATTGTAGGGGATACGGTTTCCCAGCAGATGAATACCTGTGAGTCTGATTCTTCAACTAACATATTTATGGGGTCAGAAATGCATGAATCAGTTTATTATGGATGAGCTGCATATGAGTGTCCACGCTGTGGTAGACTGGAAGATGTTTTATGGAGAGGTGTGTGCGATATGCTTTATAGAGAATGACGTGTGTGGAGAGTCAGAAAATGTATTTGAACCTGATGAAGGCAAGTTTGGAAAAAGTATTATCATGGAAAACATGTAGAAGATAAAAGGGTGATTGAAATATTGAAACGGGATCAAGCAAATGTTTTTTCCATATATTTGAAGTACAATCAAAAGAATGCCTGTTAAAGATTTTAAAAGAAAATATTTTGCCAGTATCTGTAATTTGAACTGTTGGAAGTCATAATTGTCTCAGCAATGAGGAATTCATACACTTTCATGTAAATCACGGTCTCGTTTTTAAGGATCCCAAGTGTGCCCCAAGTTTAAGGATCCCAAGAATTTGTACAAGTGCTTGCACAAATTCTATCAAGGGCACATAGAATGCTATCAGAAGAAGCAGGTACTCATAGAAATGATTTATTCTAGTTGATCTCTCATTAATGCTTTTATACCTAATTCAGTTATTGGTTCATTTGATAAAAGGGATATGAATTTAGACTCGGTAAGTTTTTACCTGTAGCAGTAGTTCTCAATCTCTGTAATCAGTCTGGTGCATGGACTACAAGTGATCTCCAAAGGTTCATTTTGTTGTCCTCTTAGATTTCCCTAAAAGACAAAAAAGTCAAACTGACTGTGTATGTCATGTTGTAGCTAAAAATCTCTATGTTTGGAAACTATGCATGACAATTGTCTAATCAGTATTTCTCCCAAGAGTAACATTTTATGAAATTTATTCCTGGTTAAATTGCTTATGGATATTCTAGCAACAAATAATAGATTTAGAACACTATGAGTATGGTGATTCTTACCAACATACACTGGCGTGCAAAAATTAAGGACGAGACGGTTTTTTTCAATATAACTTTGTACAAAAGCTTTCCAAATCAACACATTTAATACCGTAAGATCCCCAATACGTAAGGACACGAGTAATGTAAGCAACATGTACTAAAAGAGAAATCAGAGGGATAAAAAGAAGCTTTATTGAAAAAGTAGCATGGAGCGCAATGCAACTGAAGGCTGAAACATCCCTGTGATGGGTGTCCAGCAAGAAAAATCCAGTCTTTAATAGGGGATATGATCTCCCCTGGCTGCTAGGCAGGTTTCACAGCGTCTGCCCATGTTGAGAATGAGGGTGTCAATGAGTTGTTGAGGCATTGCTGCCCATTTGTCTTGCAGTGCCAAGTGAAGCTCCGGAATCAGTACTGGTGGTAAGGTACGAGCTGCCAAGCGTCTGCCTAGAAAATCCCATACATGCTCGATGAGGTTGAGATCCGTCCGGATATTGTGCCGGCCAATCCACATGTTCAATATCCTCACTCTCTAAGAGCTGTTCGGCAGCTACCGTGCGATGACATGGTGCATTGTCATCCATGAAAAAAAACTGCGGACCCATGGCGCCTCTAAAAATACGCACATATCGAAGAAGAATCTTGTTGCGGGTCCCGTTGACTGAACCTGCGTCGAAGATGTGAAGGTCTGTACGACTACAAAGCATGATCCCTCTCCTCCTCCGAGAACACGCCACCTCCATACCTGTTCCTTTCAGTGATGTTCGAGGGATGATTGCAGCTTCCCTGCTCTCTCCAGATGAGTATGCGATGAAAATCACTACTTAGACTGAATCTGCTCTCATCTGTAAAGAGTACTCGTCCCCGTTCATTGTCTCTCCAATTCCGGTGTTCCCGGCACCACAGAGAACGCCTTCTCCGATGGGCAGGCGTTAGAGGTACACACACCGTACAGGGCGTCGTGCAAACAGACCACCACCGTGCAGTCTTCTGGCCACGGTAAAAACGCGATATCGGTCGCCTGTGTCGTGTGTCTAGCGATTTCTCCCGCTGTCTGCCGCCTGTTTCTTCTGGCCTGTAAGGCAATATACCGGTCATCTGCGGGTATGATTCCTCATGGACGACCACTACTAAACCCCCAGATAGCTGTTCCTGTAGTTTGAAATTGTCTCCAAAGTCGTGAAACGATGCTGTGAGCTATTCCGAACTCTGCAGCCACACTTGTCACACTGCGGCCTTCCTCCAACTTCCCAATGATTCGACCTCGGGTAAAAGCATCCAGATGTCGTCTAACAGATTGATTATTCGCCATTTCTCTCTGACGCAGTAACTCGGTGTGATTTTAACTATGCGGTGCTATACGGCGTGCAATCTCTTTGCCAGAAATACTGATCTTACACCGACAACATGCTTTATACTACTCAGACACTCACCCATTTCGTCTACCTGCATATCTGCACATGTGCTACTGTACATCACCTTACTTAATCTCCTGATTGGTCTTTCTGTCCGCTCTGCCTCTTCGTTCAGCTGATATGCTAATTTTTCGACTTCGTCCTTAATTTTTGCACACCAGTGTATATGCAAACATAGGACAGAACGATGAACACACTAATGAGGTGAATGAACATATATGCTCATCCATCTAATTAGTGCGAGTACCAATTTTTCGTTTTTAGTTAATTAGATAAAGATTTTCTAAACTCTAATAAGCTTGAACTATTAAAAACGAATGTAAATTTTCTTTTGTTAACTTAATATCAGCGTAAAAATAAATAAATTTTAATTATGTTTTAAAACTATAATTATACTGGTGGTAACATATGCTAAAAAATTGCTTTCGAAGGGAACTGTAGTAAGTGATTCACAAACCATTTTAGTTTATAAAAGTAGTTTATAAACACTGTTCTATAACATAAAAATTGTCTTCTCTCTGTGACTTCCTAGCTTTAGTAGTGTCATGAATGGCAAAAATGATGAACTGAAGGGCTCTAGAGCAAGAAAGGTACTTATGTATTAGTCAATTGACTATGAAAGTTGACTGCTATGAAAACATGAAAGTTGGCTGAGATTCTGCCAAAGTTACGTCAATCATTCTTATGAAATTGTGAAGGAACAGCAAGTAGTTGATGCCTCTTTGTTTAATAAACAATCAGTATTCAATTCGATTCGTAACAAGATTTTCATCGATTTTTATTATTTTGTTAGGATCTCTGATTTTACCAGAAGCTCTGTTCATAATGCTGTGAGTACAAACTCTTGCAAGTAGTTTTGTCAGCTGCATTCAGCTGGCCATATCATTTCTATGACTTTTTTTTTTTTTTTTCTTTTTTCTTGATGGTAGCATCCCAAAACTTTGAAAATAATCCACTGCAACTTGCTGTTCTGTAGTGGCATGCCCCAAATTTTAACAATTTTTTTCAAAATGAAAAAAAAAAAAAAAAAAAAAAAAAAAAAAGCAATAATAGTTCATTTATATCCTTTTTCATAAAAAAAAAAAGGCTTATTGAGAATCAATTGGGATTACATAAACAAAAGTAGCGGTATTACGTTGTGATATCTTGCTCACCTATAAATGGCACTAAACCATGCTGCTTGATGACTTTCATGGTCAAGGGGATAATATATAAGTACTGCAATATATGAATGTTCATTTCCTTTGTTGTTGTGGGAAATAGCTTCCCACAACAACAAAGACAATGAACTATTTTGCCTTTGTTGTTGTGGGCAAAACTATTTTTTAGCTTCAGAATTATAGTTTAAACTATTTTTTAGCTTCAGAATTTTTTTTAAGCATTTGTAAATTTTGTTAGTAATTTTCCTATTTTTCAGAAAAGTAGTTCAAGATTTGGGCATGGAAGATAAAGTCAGTGCTTCACAAGCTCGTAAAAAGTGGCATAATCTAGTTCATAGATTCAGAGTATGATATTTATTCCTTTAAAGTATAGCTTAATATACTGAATTTTTCTGGTGCCAGTATTTTAAGACTGATTTGGTATATTATTAGAATGCAGTGCTACCAGTAAATATATTTGGATTACAGTTTGTTTATCCAGAAATAAAAATGGATGTAATTAAATGGTTTATTTTAAATTTAAATATTTTTGTGTATCTTAAAATGAAAATAATATGTACCATAAAGAGCCATATATATATATATATTTTTTTTTAACTGAACTACACTTTATCATACTCAGTCATCCCTGTTTTATGATATATTTTTTTATTCCCCTCTAGATGGCAGATTAGTATTTTTCTATTATTTGTTATTGTATATACAGTCACTTGTATTCATTTTGATCATCATCGTAATAATGTCTGAAGTTCATTGAACAGATTGATATGTTTATTGAAGAAGTCCAGCAATAAGAATCAGTGTAATACTGTAAATTTTACCATATCTTATCTCGTTCATTTGCAATTAGGCAGCTGAGAGAGATGGTTGAATAGTTAAACCATCGAAACTAGCCCTGCAAAATTTACAAATATAATGCTGGTTCTTTTTGTTTGACTTCTCCAATAATCATCATTCGGTGTGTTATTTTAACTTAGACTGATATATTGCTGTATTAGCATCAGAATAAAAACTAGCATAAAATAGTCAAAAATTAGTAAATTATTGCTAACTTGAATAATATTATTAAGAATCGTAAGTTAATAAAACTTAAGTGAGAGTGAAATGTTTTTTCCCTAAATCCTCTTCTTGGAACATTTTTGCTCAGAAAATCAGATTAGCCTTACTAACAGAATAGTTACTCATTAAATATGCTTTATTTCTATACTTAAATATTCATAACTGGATAAATAAAAACTATATCAGCTTTGATTAAATAAAATCATAATATTTTCATGTTTATGTATTTTTATATTGGAGAACTTTCATCAGGTGACCATCTTTAATATCAGGTAACTTTGATCTTGTATGGAGATGTCATCTCTTTAAAGACCATTATTAATGTTGATAATTAAGTACCATTATTTAATTATATTTTTAGAAATGTTAGTTACTTTTAGAGGCTTAACATTCTTAAGAATGTTCTCTGTGATAGGTTTCACTGAATTTTTCTTTATGTTCATGTAATTTTTCTATCATTTGACATTTAGTAGTTGATACTTCAGATTATAGCATCATAACAATTTCAAATAATAACCACTTATAAAGCTTAATTGGTTTAGTAGATTTTCCTTAATTTAGGAAGTTATTAAAAATAATATTATTTTCATAAAAAATATTTGTATGTGGGATCGATTTTTTCTTCCTCTAAAGTTGAAAAATTTGGTCATGCTGCCTATTTTCTAATGCCTGATTTTTCTCTCTTAATTAAAGTTGTTTATGTAATATTTTAGTAAGCTAATATATTGATAAGTATATCGAGTAGTTTCAAAATATCAAAATCTTATGATGTAAATTTTCCTAATAATAGTAAATCTTTTAAACCTGACATTAATTTATGATTGATTATTAATTAATGAGACCACCAGTCAAAAAGTATAGTGCTATAATATACAAATTAAAAAAAAAAATTTTGGGGGGGGGAGGATTATGAATCTTGGGAAATGCTTAAAATAATTTTAATCAGTATCTGAAACTTTTATCTAAATTCAACTTGAAATTTCATTGTTGTATTCAGTAATGAAAGAAATTAATAATATAGTAAAAAAATAAATCCTTATCAAAATTTTCAAAAGTTTGTTTGAATCAGATTTTATGAATATGTATAAAAATGCTTGGATTTTTTAGTGATTGATAGTTTTAAAATTGCATCTTGGAAACTACTTAATTTTACTCTTATTAGTTTATGAACAAAGTAAATTTAGTTTTATGGTGCAGAATGTGTCTTTTAATTTAACTGTGAAACAAATAATTAGCTTCCCAGACAGCAAAGTGGTTAGTGATGCTGACTGCGTACCGAAGGGCCGGATTTGAATGCTGACGAAGGCATGGATGTTTGTAAATGTGTAAAGTCTTTGTAGCATAAAAGCACTCAAAATGTGCAGTGAGCCAAAAGTCTTCTCGAGAGGTTGGTGGTAGGGGAAAGAGGGTGGGAGATCCTTGGATCCACCCTCGGGCGATCTCTTTAAAAACTGGGGTGGAACTGAGCATAAAGTTGGACTGTCACCTGTATGGTGCTGATGAATGCTCAGGCCAATGACAGACGCAGTCTTGTACTTCTAGCTACGTTAATAATTTGTGGACATGTCCTTACACCAGACATAGAGATTAGTAACAACAACAATACAAATGATTAATTTGTGTGTGTGCGGTTATAGAGTTTGATAAAGGAAAAATTTGAATTAAAAGTACTTTTTTGTTGCTTTAGGTTATGATAGTTATTATTTTCTTCTGTATATTATAAACAAAGAAAAAAGCAATATTACAAAAGTTGTGTATTAGGACTCCACTTTTCATCTTTTCACTATGGATACACTAGTGGCTGAATAGTAAAATCACTGAACATTATTAGTTCAGCTTCAAATCTAATGGTTAAGGTTCATATCTGGTGAAGGGGCTGCTGCATGGGAGTTTTTGTAGTTTTTTCATGTTTAATATGAATACGAGCCATTTCCTTTTCAATGTCTTCATTTGACTTATAACTTCAGTTTTATGGTGTAATTTCAATTTCATATAGAGCTGTTTGTTTTTATAATCCTCAGTTGTGATTAAATGCTTATACAGTACAAAGTCTTTAATCCGGATATCCATAATCCGAACCTCAAAGCTATAAACTTTATGTGCATGCGCAATGCGTTTATGCATGCGCATAAAACGCTTACACATGCACGTTTAATGTGCGCTTCCGCTACGCATGCACGTAAAAAGAAGAGATACTGTTTATAGAAGAGAGAATTAGAGAAAGTATTAGCACAAAAAATGAAGCAACTTAAACAACTTAATTGAAAGAAATGTTTAATAAAGTAAGCAAATAAATATTAAGCTTTTTTTTTTTTTGTAAATTTTGATACCCTTTAGATCAGAATTGCTCTTTATTTCATAAATTACGGTTTCATATTTTTAATGGTATAATTTCTGCATGCCATCTTACCAGATTTAAATTTATAATCTATAACCCAGAAAACTCCCTAATCCGGAATCGCCAAAGTCCCGACGAGTCCAGATTACAGACTATGTACAGTAATTGATTGCTAAAGAATAAAATTAAATACAGTCAAAAGTCTTTAATTCGGACTCGTTGGGACTTCGGCGATTCCGGATTATCGATTTTTCCGCATTATAGATCATCAGTTTAAATCTGGTAAGATGGCATGCGGAAATTATAAAATTAAAAATATGAAACCGTAATTTATAAAATAATGAGCAATTATGATCTAAAGGGTATCAAAATTTACCAAAAAAGAAGCCTAATATTTATTTGTTTACTTTATTAAACATTTCTTTCAACGCGCGGATGCGTAAAGCATACCTTAGGCATAGTCGAATTAGACAATTGCAACCAGAAAAACTATTTGATTTGTATTCGTGATATTTATAATGACGAGGAATTTGATTTAAATCATATCAAAGACGGAGTACATCGAAATTAAATACTACATTTAGTAAGGAATTATAAGCCGAATAAAATAAAAACATCTGCCCTGAAGATAACGATAGTGTTGACAAATCAACTTCCAGTTCATTGCGCGCCGCGACGCCCCCCCCCCCCCCCCCCGTGCAGAGCAGCGTGAAATTGATAAACAGATTTCGGAACGGTTAGATAAACAAAGAATATGCCTTTATCCATTTTTGTAGCAATTCGATTTTTGTTTGATGGACATCGAAACATACTTTCGTTTTCTAGATCCTTTGGGAGCTCCAGCATCGGAAATTCTATTTGACATAATCGAAAGTTCAAGCTTACTTTTAGAAAATTGCTCTTACAGTCTGCAAAAAATAATAAGCCGGATCCAATTCGAAGATTAAAGAACAACGCAATCATCAACATTAACTGAAATAGATAATTAGATAATTTTAGCTTATACCGTCCGTTATATATTAAACGCGCACGCGAAAACGTATTCTGCACTTGCGCAGACGCATATGCGCAGTCGTAAATGTCTTGCGTGCACAAGTAAAGCGCCTATGCGCATGCGTGAATGCGGCGCATGCGTCAATGCGGCGCATGCGCAGAAAGATTTTAGCTTTGAGGTCCGGATTATAGATCATTCCGGATTATGGGTGTCCGAATTAACGACTTTTGACTGTATTTTATTTGATGTTATCCATTTTTGAAATGTAACCATTATGTTAAAAAAGCAGATTTATGATGACATAATGTGATGCAATTTTAATAGAAAATAATGTTTGAAATTTATCACCAATTTCTTTTATACTTACAGCCTTTTTCAAGAATTGCAGGAGGTATTTTACTTTTGGTCTATAAATCATATTTAGTAGTACATTAATGTTGATTATGTTTTTGTGGAAACAGTTATCTTCAACTTGTGAAATCTGTATTTCATCAACTGTTATAAACCCGTGCATTTGTAAAAATTCTGGCATCGATTCTGATGTCTGTTGCTGTTGCAAATCTTTCTAAAAGTTTTATTAGTTTTTATAGAAGCTGTATTTTTTTTTTTTTTTTTTTTTTTTGGTGTGTGTGTGTGTGTAATTAAAAAGCAAAGAGTTTTCTTGATTAAAAAAGTATCATGATTTTCTTATAATGGAAGAATTTTATTATTATAGGTATCACTGCTTCTGGAGCCTCTGTGGCTAAAGTATTAGTATTCTTGATGTTCTATACACGTTTATAGAAATTATTTTACTATTTTATTCTATATGAAATTAGAAGTATGTATAGAAAAAGTTGTTCTTATAAAATTATGAAAAAAGCTAATTTTATTAGAGAGGCTATAAAATGATAACTGACGAACTACCATTACTTAAAGCCATAGCCCATTACAAATTCATTAATTGTGTATTAT